AAAAAATCGTATGTAAAGCCCGGCCAACCGGGAACATCAACGCCGAAGCCGAATATCCATGATGCCAAGGTAATGCTCTGTATTTGGTGGGATCAGAAGGGTGTGATCCACTATGAGCTGCTAAAACCTGGTCAAACCATCACGGGATACTTCTACAGGCGACTATTGATCCGTTTAAAGCGAGCTATAGCCGAGAAACGTCCAGAATATGCGACCAGACACGAGTCCATAATCTTTCACCATGACAACGCTCGGCCTCATGTTGTTGTTCCGATTAAAAACTATTTGGATAATAGCGGATGGGAAGTTCTGGCTCACCCGCCTTATAGCCCAGACCTTGCCCCTTCCGACTACCATTTGTTTCGATCGATGCAGAACGCTTTGACTGGAATACACTTCACTTCAGAACAGGGTATAAAAAATTGGCTCGATTTATTCTTGGCTTCAAAAGATGAACGCTTCTTCCGCGACGGAATCCATAAATTGCCAGAAAGATGAGAAAAAGTAGTGGCTAGCGATGGACAATACTTTCAATAATGTATTAATTCATTTTATCATTCAAATAAATGTGTTTTTCAAGCAAAAAAAACGAACCGAATTAAGTTGTACACCCAATATTACTATAGAAAAACTATGAAAGATAATTCATTATTACAAGAATACGTTTATAAGGTTATTAAACATTATTTTTCCTGTACAAAAATTTATTTTCTATGACAATTATATTTCTACCCAATCAGCAGACAATGTTTTTTAAATATTTTTTAAATATTTATTTTTCATTGATATTACATTGTACAGTTTATTGTAAAAATAATATTTATTTAATATTTACTAAACGTTTATATAACATTTATTAAATATTTAAAATAAAAATTTAAGAAAAATATTTATATAACATTTATTTAACGTTTATTTGACATTAAATAAAATGTTTAAAATAATATTTAAAGAAGATTTATTTAATAGTGATTTAATATTTGTAGTACATTAATCAAACATTTAAAATAATATTTAAATAAACATTTCTTTAGTATTGATTTAATATTTATTTTTCAAAGATACTTTTTATATTTAAAAAGATCTTTCTTTTCCTTTTAATAAATCATTTGTTTTCGTACATGGATGTACCATATGTATACAATATAAAGTATCTCTCGGTGAAAGTGACAATGACGCAGTGAGTAAGGTAAACGACTCAGGATCTCAAGCAGAGGTCTCAGGTTTGAGTCCCAGCATGGTAAGCAAATTTTCAAAGTACAATTTAAATTGAATTAAGTAACGTGTGAAACAATAAAATGGAAAATTTAAGAAAAATTCAAGAAAAAAAAATAGTTTTATAATATTTATAAATGTACATGTAAACGTTTAATAAATATTTAAAAAACGTTAATTAAATATTTAAAAATGTTTTTTCCAAAATATTTGAAAATACCTTTTTTTTTTAATAAATAGGAATAAACTTAACCCATTGTTTTTAACGTTTTAAAAGTAACTACTAGAACTATTACCACTAACAGTGTCACTAATAGTGACATTAATAGTGTAACTATAGCGAAACTATAATGAGTGCTATAATTCTAATAGTACCACTAGTAGTACTTTTTCATAAAGCAGGAGATAGTTGCTGTGCGTCTTCTCGACAACTTCCAAAAGAAGAGCGAGAACAAAACTTATGAGATCAATAACAACTATTTTTCTCGGTTGCTAAACACCTGTAACATAAGAGCGAAGTCTCAAGGGCATGATGAGCTCGGAGGAGAGTCGCAGAGACTCGCGGATTAAGAGTTCTCTACTATCGCGAGAGAGCGATAGACTCATGAGATCTCGTTGAACTGTATGAGTTTACTGACGAGTTGCCGGAGCTCGCTAGCATCTTCGCCGCCGTGGGCCCTCGAACATAGAAATTGATTGTGCCTTAAAGGTCTTCCGCCGCCGTGGATTCGAGAATCTCCGTCACCGTAGACTTTAAAACTCCGCTGCCGTAGGCTCGAAAATCTCTGCCTCCGTGGGCTTAAATCTCCACTGCCGTGGGCTTTAAAACTCCGCCGCCGTGGGCTCACAAAAATCGGAAATATTCTGAGCTGGCCTTTTGGAATCGCTCAGGATTCTTCGACATTCCGCCCTTCAAAAACGGAATTACTGAACACCTTTTCGTGGCTTGCTACTGGGAGTATGTATAGCTTTGCAATTGGCCGAGTCAACGTTGAAGTGGTAGTGTGTACGGTTACCACTCGCATAAGTCCATCTGTTCCGGGATGAAGCTGCACTCGGGCGAAAGACCATTTCGCAGAAGGATATCTTTCGTCTATTAAAAGTACTAGAGAACCCTCTTGAATTAGGTTGGAGAAATGATGCCATTTCGAGATGGACTGGTAGCGCTGGAGGCATTCAGAGGACCATATTTTCCAAAAATGTTCCACCTTTTGCCGGAAGAGTTGCCAACGGGTCAACTGGCTAGTAAGCTGATGGGTCAGATTGGGCTCAGGCACTGTATTTAAAGGTTTTCCGATAAGGAAGTGACCAAGAGTTAGAAGACCAGAGACATCATCACTATCTTCTGTTAGAGGCGAGAGTGGTCTGGAATTTAAAATGGCCTCAATTTGCGTTAAGAGAGTGAATAATTCTTTGTATGTCAAGACTGCATCTCCAATGGTGCATAGGAGATGAAATTTCATCGATTTTACCGTTGCTTCCCATTTGCCACCGAAGTAAGATGCTGAAGGCGGGTTGCATTGCCACATAGTACCATTGTTCGCAAGCAGAGCAGCAAGTTCCTTGAGTTCCTGAGAGACAGCACTAAATCTTTGTCGCAAAGCCTTATCTGCGCCAACAAAATTTATACCGCAGTCACTATACAATGTCGCGCAGATTCCTTTACGTCTAGTGAAGCGTTTATAGGCTACGATAAATGCTTTAGTCGAATAATCTGTGACTACTTCCAAATGAACAGCCGAGATTGAGAGGCAGATAAAGATGGCTAAATATCCTTTGTATACCCTTTTGAAAAAAACACCCAATTTTTGGTGTAAAAATATTCTCGAAAGAACCCTCAAATGTTTAGTGTAAATTCAGATCGTCAATTGACGATCAACACCGAAATGAGGGTTAACCTTAACAAAAACCTCAAATAAATGTAAGCCCTAAACAGAAAAATATATCTTGCAAAAACGATTGCAACTAGTCAGCTTATGTTGATTTTAAATGAAATTTAGCTCTTTTATTGATTTCTCACTATTTTTACACCTGAAAATTTTCTCAATACTGGTCGCGAACTCGAGACCTTAGACACCTCCAGGTTTCTAATTAACCACCTAGGCTGCTGCGCTATTTGCTCAACTGATACTAAGTGCTTTCTATTATACCCATATACAGTCGAAGTACTAATTATAGTTTTCTTATAATATTATTTAGTACAATCACAAAATAAACTATTTGTATTTGAAATATTTTATATAATAAAAGAGAAGTCAGATATATATGCATAAAATATTTATGTAAAATATGTTTACCTAGGTGTTGAGATTACAAAACATTACAATTAAAGAAACATTTGAAGAAACATTTCTAAAACGTTAAAAATATTGGAATAAGTTCTCCTTTTTCATTAAAAAACGTTTTTTAATGTTTTTTGATGTTTCAAAAAATGTTTTAATTTCTAATATTTAATAAACGTTTATTTTAACATTTAGAAAATATTTTTTAAATGTTAAATGTTAACATTTAGAAAAACGTTCTTTAAATGTAAAAATAAATGTTTTTTTAAATATTAAAAAACAAAACAATCTTCCAAACGTTAAAAAACGTTATTTTAATGAAAAAAGAGAACTTATCCTATTATTTTTAACGTTTTAAAAATGTCTTTTCAAATTTATTAAAAATGTTTCTTTAAATATTGTTTGTACATTGAGTAACAGAAGTAACTAGTTAATAAATAAAAAATATTATATTATATCCGCAATATTTTTTAAATATTGCTGTAATATTGCTAAAGTAATATTTCAAATTAATGTCACTACGATGTCTCTACAACATTGTACTGTAATATGCAATGTTGTAACGTTGTAGCAATATTGCTGCAAGCTTCTGTGCTATATGGAATAGTAACACCGGAAATGATAGTTTGAATGAAAATCAGGATATATGTATTATTTCAATATATTTTTAAAAAACATTTTTTTAGTTACACATTAATACGTTATTTCATCAATTATGTAAAACAAATATGTTATTATCTTCCCAGATAGCACAGGAAATTAAAAAAGAATTTAATCGTATGTCACCGTAATTCTGAATCGTATGTCACCGTAATCGTATGTAATCGTAATTCTGAATTCATTTTTAGATGCAAAAAGAATTGTTTTCACTGAACTGAACTTTGAAGAATTCCTTTTGCATCTAAAGATCCCTTAAGAAAAATTACTTTAAGATATTCAAATTAACTTGAAGTTATTTAAAGTTATTTATAGTTAAGTAAAAATTACTTACAGCTAACTAACTAAATAACTTTAAGTAACTTAAATTAATTTGAACAACTTAAAGTAATTTTTCCTAAGGGATGAACTCAGAGTTGTGACACACGACTGAATTATTTTTTAATTCTTTTTGAATTCTCTGTGCTATCTGAGCTAACATTTGCGCACAGCATATACAACTCATATATACCCAGTAAGCAAATTGAGCGCAGACTGCGCACAGATTGGCAGCAAATTTGATCAAAAACTCACAGCAAAACCATAGCCATCTGTGTCTACATTAGGCTACGGTTTTGACGACAGATCTTGCTGTCGAACAATTGGTGCCAAATTTGCAGCAAAAACCTCACAAAGCTTGAAGCGCAGCAAAGTCTGCGCGATTTCTGCTGCCAATCTGCCGTCAAATCGCTACGAGCTCTGCGCCGTTTTTGCTGCAAATCTGCAACAATTATCCGACAACAAACTCTGCCGCATATCTGGCGGCAATTTGGCAGCAAGATTTGATATAACAGATCCTGCATCAAATTTGTTCGCGCAGGTTTGGCTACTAAATTTGACTAACATAATTTTTTTTAGTACAAATGATTTTCATATAGGTTAATTATTATCTTACGCTTGGCCAACATACAGAGATGACTGTTGCTCGTGCGAATAAAACTCTGGGATTTATTTAAATTTATTTATTTTAGTTATTTACCGTCCAGGGTTAACTTCAAAACTTGTCGGTTGACACCAAAACATTTGAGGGTCTAATCTGAAAGATTGAATGTTAAAGTTTGAAGTGAGTATTAAACAACAGCTGTCATTGCCAGAAGTGAAGCGTCCCAAAAACCACGCAGCTCGACTGATTTCGCCAGGGGTGAAGTATGTAACCATCGAAGGATATCCAAGGATCGCAAGTCTGTCGGCTGTCGTCTGAAAACTTGGGGGTTAACACTGAATCGTTTGAGGTTTACCCTGAAAGTTTCAGGTTCAATACTACTTATTGAGAGTCAACACCGAAATTTGGGGGTTGACACCGAATCATTTAGGGTCTACTCTGAAAGTTTGAGAGTCTACTCCCAAATTTTGAGGATTAACACCCAACTTTTGTGATCAACCTTCAAAATTTAGGAGTTTTTTTCGTAAGAGTACTTTCGTCGCCCGCCTTCTCCAGGTTTTAAGCGAGATTGGTCCAGCACAATCGATGCCCGAGTGAAGAAAAGGACGGGAAGGGTTGACTCTTGGTGAAGGCAACTGACCCATTAATTGTTGAGCTCGATGCCCTCGATATATCGAACACACCGTAGTATATAGGATCGATGGGCGCTCTTCCACCTAAAATCCAAAATATATGCCAGGTTTAGGCTAAGGTCAACTATATTCCTCCGTGTAACGTTCGAAGATGAGCATCGTTGATAACTAGGAAAGTGAAGATCGGGGAAGAATAACTGGATACTTAGCTTCGGTATCCAAGTTAGAATCCTGTAGCCGTCCGCCAACTCGCAGAATTCCATACTGATCGATAAAGGGAGTTAACCAAATCAAAGGATTAGATTTAGATAATGGTAATTCCTTGTTTATAAGACCGATTTCCTGATTGAACTAAAAACCTTGCATTTGCACCCAGAAATTACGGCTCAATTGTATCTCAGAAGAAGTCAATGGCGATGCAGCAAATGGTATAAGGCGGCGAAAATGATTGACAACTCGCCGACATATAACGGTGATTTGAAGAAGCCAAGTAAGGGATGAATATTGTTCTAATAAATCCTACCGTCGAGAGATAGTAGGTCTTTCTACGGAAGTTACCAAAACTGGTCGTGATCTTTTCTCCAGACTTACCTCGGATGCTGCCTTAAAATGTTTGGAGGGCCAAGTGTCAGACGGTTGCATCAACCAGGGAGGTCCCATCTACCATAATGAATTTTCGTTCATTTGATCTGCTTGCAATCCTCGAGAAGCGCAATCAGCCGGATTTTGTTTGCTTGAAACAAAACGCCACGTTGTCGACGGTAACGTTTCTTCGATGGCTTATTCCATACAAAGTCCTTCCATCTTGAGGGATGACTAGATATCCTTTGCTGGGATTCTGTAACTCGTTATTGGAGTTAACGACAGTTTCGTTATCGTTGCGCAACTTTTGTGTATCATAGAAAAGCTGCGCAATAATAACGAAACTATCGTTAACTCCAATAACGAGTTACAGAATCCCAGCACATGTCAGAATAATTGATGAGTCGGTACAAAGATAAATGGGACTGTCCTGGAGATCTAAGGCTCGCCTCACTTGTGACATGAGGCGTATCAATAACATGGCTGTGGCTCCAACTGCGGTATGGTTAGACACTTTAAAGGAGCCACTCGAGTTTTAGTCGAGACTAAGTGTATTGTAGTTTTCCCTGTCTCGTCGATGACTCGCAGTAAACAACCCAGTAAGCAATCCGCACACAGACTGACGTCAGACTGGCGACAGGATCTATCGAATTCGAGCAGGATCTGTCGACAGATCCATAAACATCTGCATCCCCAATCTGCCGTCAGACTGTTGAAAGGGTCTGCGAACAGACTCTGACGACAAACTGGCGGCAGATTGCGCGCAGAGCCAGCCGACGGACTCTGACGGCATATTGCGCGCAGATTGCGTGCAGATCCTGTCGTTTCGTAAGTTCTTCAATTAAATTTTTGGTAGAAAATTTTCTCATAATTACTCATAGAATAAATGCTTTCTCATAAATAATTGTAAAATACAATGAAAAGAAAAAGTTTTTCTATATTATTTTTTCATAATTTTTAAGATTTTCTCTGGTGAGATTCAAACTTGAATCGAAGACATCTTTTGGATAATCGTCCGTCGCCTTAGACACTACGCCAATTCCTCATTTGATAAAAAGTGCTTTATATTATCCATTTAAAGTTTAAGAAAGAAAAATCTTAGATTAAGAAAAGATCTTAGAAAAAGAAAAAAGAACTCGCAAAAGAAGATATAAATCAAAAGATAGGAAAAGCAATCCGAGTTCAAGCACAGAACTAATAGTGCTATATATCATATGGATAAACAACCTTCCTTATGTTAGGAAATCGTGTAATATTTATTGAAATATGAATAATCAATATAAATCATTCAAACGTTTTGGCTCAACCATGAGCCCTCCTCAGTGATAATGAAACTCAAGGTTAATGACACGAATGTATTACAATAAGTAAAAAACCAGCGCAAAAATGACATGAGAATTAGACGCAATATTAAAGCCGACAAGATCGTTACCGAAATAATATTAAATAACAAATTAATATCAAGTAGTAGCCGTCATAACTAAAAAACATATAAAATAAAAATTCATTAAGTAAAATGGCAATATAATAAGTAATTAGAACTGAACAGTATAAAATACCTTTGTTGAGTTCAGCTAAAAGCAACCGATCCTGTCAACGATAACATCTCTACGTCTTTCAAATAGAATGTTTACAGGTTTATATGCTTAGCATTAACATCGCGGAAACGACTCATGGAAGAGAAAGAAACAAAACAAAGGTTATAATCATAACAAGCCGCAGTAGCTGGTGCCCAAATATTCGGTGTCCTTTTGTGAATTAAGACCCTGCTTCTGTAATTTGATGAAAATCATTTCCGAAATGAGGCGTTTCAAGTAAAACCGTTCCTCATGTAAAACTTTAACATAATCCCAATCAAAATCATGATCCCTCCTCAAACGGTGCTCCTGTATGGCCGTTAATTCCACCGTAGAACTCTTAGGAATTCTCATATGCTCTCCAATACGTGTAGAGAGTCTTCTACTGGTTTGACCAACGTAAGAAGCATCGCAGCCACTGCATTGTAACTTA